ATTTTCTTTCTTTTCTTGCGGCCCCTGTCTGGGATGCCTTTCTCTTCTTGCCGCCTGCTTCTTGAACATGCGCAATCTTCTTGACATTGTCAAGGTCTGTTTTTTCACCACTTGACCCAGTGGCCATAACAGTGGGCTTGACATCCGAGAGATAGCACTCTCGGGCCATCCTCTGATCTCCCCTTAGGGAGCCGACTGTTCCATTATCCCTCTCAAACTTGAGCAACATAAGAGATGGGATTATAACACCCTTGGAATTATTCAGGGTTGGTCGTCCCAGAATCATGTTGTAGGCCGAGAGTTCTTCTACTACCAGGAAACGGCCTACCATGTGTCGTCCTTCCCCTTTTTCGCCCAGACGGATGGGTAAATCCACTCGTCCCACTGGGTGGACGACTCTTCCTCCAAACCCTACTAAAGGGTGGGAGGCCGGATGTATGCAATCAGTCTGATATTTTAGTTTCGATAGACATTTGCTACTGATGAGATCTGAGGAGCTTCCGGTATCAATGAGGATTCGGTCAACTCTCTGGTTGGCCACTTTACATTCAATAACGATAGGGTCGTCATGCGGCCCTCTTACCCCTCCTAGATCTTCTTCAGTGATGACAATCTCAGGAAATGAATATTTGGACGGTCGTTCTTGGTGAACAAAATTTACATCTAACCGCCTGATATTGTCTTTGTTGCCCCTAATAGTGGGGCCGCCTCCTGAGAAGCCGCCTGCAATGGTGTAGACGACTGCATCATCTGTATCGGAGCTGTCGGCCTGTTGATTCTCTTTGGCCGACTGCTTTTTTGAGGAAGTGTTCCCCGCGGATTTCTTGACATAAGTGTCAAGATCACCTTGCTCAGCCAGGCGGTCCAGATACCGCATGAGACTGATGCAGTCATTGGTGTGATGACCAACATCATCATGATAAGCACAGAATTTATCTTGGTTCCGGTTGTTTGCAGAACCCTTCATGGGGACCGGCTTCTCAATTGAGATCCGTCCCTTGATTTCTTTTAGGATAAACTGGTTATCCTTGTTAAACACATACTTTGGGGAGTATGGTTTGAATTCTTTTTTCTTTTTCTGGGCCGGCTGTTTGGAGGAATCAGCCGCCCAGACCTCTTTTCTCTTCTCATCTTTGTTTGACGACTGTTTCTGTCGTCCTTCTCTTTTGTCGAACCTTTTCCCGTCCGACTGTTTTACCGTACAAAGATTAGTCGCCTGTATATAGGCTTCCGCTTCAATCAAGGCCTCTTGAAGAGTCGCCACCCTCTTTCGGACCAAGTCAAATTTGAAGGTCGACCCGTCCTTGAGACCTCTGAAAAAGTCAGTATAGGCTACCTCATCCGGTAACCCTTGAATCTGTATTCTCATCAGGTTAAACCGCCTGATGTAAGAACGAAGACCCTCCTTCTTGCCCTGCTGAATTGTTCCTAAATCAAGGGTTGTTTTCTTCGCAGGGATGTTCATGGCGAAGTTGGAGGTGAATAAATAAGCAAGCATCCTGAAGCTATTTACACAACCAATCGGCAGGTTGCCGAACCATTGTTGTGCGATTCCTTTGAGAGTCGCTGGGAAACACTTGCACCAGGTGGGATCATCCAACCCTTGAAGGTACATCAGGTTGGTGAAGGCCATAAGATGGTCTTCCGGGTTAGTAGTGCCGTCATAGGCGCCTACTAATACATTTTTCACTTTGGCCGGCTGAGCGGCTTCAGTAATTTCCTTGGAGAAGGCCGACGGCTGTTCACCAAGTCTAAGCAACCGTAGCTGCCAGTCCATAGGTTGGACGTTTTTTGCTGCAGGTTCACCATACGGAGGTGGCTGCAAAAAATACTGTTGTTGCGGCAAAAATGGTAAGTTTGGTACCGCCTGATCGCTATGAAAGCCGGACTGACGGGAGGTGCCGCCTGAGTGACTCTCATGATACGACTGAGTATGCTTCATCGAGGCATTTCGCAGACTGTCTTGAAAGTTTGAAGTAGAGGCCGACTCTGACAATCGGTCACTCTTCTTCTGCTCTAGCAGTAGCCGAGCGTCTGTGAATGTTTGCTTCGACCCGTCCGCCTGAATATGACGAACAGGTTTCCTATTTCCTGTAGGAAAACGGAATTTTGTGAAATCAAGGGCAGGTGGCTCCCGCTTCCTAGATTTAGGATGAGGAGTCGCCTCTCGCCCTTGAACTGGCTTCCTCTTCAGTGAAGTGGAGGGTTTCTTAGCCGACTGCTCCTTGACTAGAGCAGGCGGCTTTTTGTTGATCAACTCTTGAATTTCTCCCTTGAAGTCCCTCATGAAGGTCATGAGTTCGTTCCTTGTGATGGGAGCAGATCCATCAGTCGGCTGCTGCCGAACAGGCGGTGCGCCTGCTGGCTCGCTTCCTGTATGAAGATGTTCTCGTTCCCTCCTTTCGGTATGACGGGTACGTCGGGCCCTTAGGGTCCCGTCTGAAGCTGTGTGAGCTTCAACTTCAAGTTCATCCTCAGTATCGTGGTCCGACTGTACTTGAGGGTCGTCTAGGGGACGCCTCTCTTCAGGAGTCGGTACAGACTTGGATGCCATCTCAGAAGTACTCTCCCCACAGACGGCGCCAAATGTTTTGGGGTTTTCTGATGTCCTGCGGGAGAGTTACAATTCCGAGACTGGAACCGGACGCCTGTACCTGCAAAACAACGGAGACTCCTGGTGGTGGGAGCTCCGCCTCCAACGGTCAAGTTAGTACTTGATTAAGGAGTAATTAATGCGGAAATTAAAGTGAGTGGGTCTCTCTAGGTGAGAGTGTTTAGTGTGAGTTTTTAGCGTAATCAGCCTGTAACTCTATGTGTAATCAATGTGTTTTTTCTGTAATCCCCCCTTAATGAGGATTAAGGGAGGTATTTATAACCTTGGGAAACGTGCCAATCCTAGGTTTAGGTTAACCTAGGGCTGATTGGGCTTCCCTCGGAAGTTGGGCCTGGGTGGCCGGTTTCTCCATTAAGCATGGAGTATGCCACATGTCATGACATAACAGGTCCAAGGTGGACGAATAAGCGTGTGCCACGTGGCAAGCCCTGACAGTTCCAACTGGAGGACACTTGGCAGGACCTGATTGGCCCACGTGGCGCATTCCGATTGGTGGGAGCAAAATCCCCTAATCAACAGTGAGCTAGGATAGAAGTACCCCCAAACGGTATAAAATCGGATGGGGGGGGGGGTTGTAATAAGCATCGGTAAAAATAGTAAAAGAATTGTAAGGCTTACTCTATGATACCCTAGACGGTATCAAGGAAGTTGGGTCAGAGATACCCTATCCGGTAAAAATGCCGGATAAAGGTGCTGCAAGCAACATTTAAAATCAACAATACCCCAAACGGTAAAATACCGGATGAGGGTATAGTAAGACCTGTTTCAAAAAGGCCTGTTCAAACAATATCCAGACGGTGAGTCACCGGATGGGGGTGCATTGAACGCATATTAAAATTTGAAAAGGTCATGAAAAGACAAGGATGATGACCCAACCGGCTTTAAAACCGGTTGGGGTTTTTGAAATCATTTCTTGACAAAACAAATACCCAAGCGGTGTAATACCGGATGGGGGTGCTTTGAAAGCCTTGTTATTTGACAGAAAAAGAAAGGGTATTGTAGTCTAAACTTGGAAATGGGTCTAGGACCCCCCAGGCGGCTTACCACCCGGATAGGGAAAACATTCAACAAATCCTCAAAAAGAAAGAAGTAAAAGAGAATGAAGAAAAGGATCCGGCACCTTAGAAAATTGCAGAGAAATTACCCAACCGGTAGCCGGATGTACTTGATCTCACAAGGCCGGATGCAACAAAACTTGAAGGAAATTAGCAGCACGTATCAGAGCTCTCAAGAAATTTTTGAAAAATATGCAAAGTGTGGAGGAGAGAGAGAGAGTCTCTCATTTATAGAAAAGGAACATAAGGCGAAACAATGCCTTCTGCCCTAAAAACTTAAAAATTTGAAAAAAGGAGGGAAGATGACGAACCGTCTTCTCCCATGCGTCTGACACTTGTCACAGGTGACACGTGGACATGCCACGTCACACCTGTGAGGGGAAAATGTTTAGGGTAAAAATACCCCTAAGACACGTGGCCCTATAATAGGGCCACGTGTCAAGTTTGCAACGGTCAGCAAAGGCCCAATCCCTTTGCGACACGTGTCATTGTACCCTAATTGAGGTACAGCTCTCCCCTACTATAAATAGTAAGGGCAGATCTCATTTATTGGGATCGAATCATTTTCCAACCACCAACCAAACACAAATCCCCTTGCAAACGCTCTCAAATCGAGAAGCATTTATTGTCTTATTTCCTCATTAAGAAAGATACTAACTTAATCATCGGAGGCGGAACACCCCAGCCCCAGCTGGAGTTTTCCGTTATTTGTGCAGGTACAGGCAAAGGAAGGAGCATACTAGGAAATTGTAACTCTCCCGTAGGACACATAAAAAACCCCTAAACAAAAGGCATCTCCTTGAAAAGTGAGAAAGCATTTAAGTTCGTAATACTCTAGTTTCGTTTGGTCAAGTACCGACTAACCTTCGGGATTAAGACCGTTCGGGTAGGGTCGAGAGTGCGAGCCGTAGGAAGCCGTCGCACTTGCGAGGCTCGAGTTTTGAAGTAAGAGCTCGTGAATCGAGCGAAGCACGTGTCAAGGGTAAGAATGTCTTTTCTCTTTCTCTCTCCTATGTTGTTAAACTATGTGATTGCATGTTTAGTTGCTTTAATTAGTGAGCGGGTGTTGGACGGGTTTTTCTTCCGCGTAGCGTTGGACGCTACAAAACCCAACAGTCCGGCTATCTACCTCTAGTCTTTTCAGTATTAAGGCCACAAGAGGCCAAATAGGTGCCGTTTGTGCGCCACTCAAACATGGAGATGTAACTTTAGGGATTATCTCCTTTTATCCTCACTACTACAAAAAATGGAAAAGGACCCCTAATTAGAGACCTGTTGGACCCCTAATTAGAGACCCGTTATAACGGGTATGTTTGATGTAAGAGATCATTTAACAGAGATAACAGGTCTCTTATAAGCCCTAGTGCCCACAACTTTATTGAGAGGAGTGAGATAAGAAACCCATTGTAAGAGTCAACGGGTCGCGTACCTTCTTTTTCACTTCGCATTATATACGGGTGTAGGGCCATCCTTTTGGCTCAGTCTCTCTCCTCTGTATCTCTTTCTTTCTCAGCGAGTCACTGACATTCCCTTATGAATTTTTTTCCTCAAAAACTATTTCCTCATTCACCTCCAAGTTTTTCCCTCTTATCAATGGCTTCATCTCCTTCTTTTTCCACCTTCATCAACGAGTTCTTCGAACATATGCATCCTCCTTGTATTTTGAGAAGTCTCCGCCTTCAAGATCCCTCGTTGCTTAGCCTCTGACGACAGTTGCGAAGTGCTTCAATGCAATAAATCTAGATTTAAGCATTCAAGGTACATTCTCAAAAAAATTAGCCTTTTTTTCTCCATGTTTTCATATTTCAAGTTTTTTAGTTTCTATTTGAAACCCTATTCTTAATTTCATCCTCTAACCTTCCTTTCAATTGCCAAATAATTTTCTTTATTAATCCCATTTTTATTTACTTTAGTACCCTTAAGTTCGAATTTCACATCTGGGCAATGTTGCAATTGGCTAAATTGACAATATTTAGTGGGAATTTCGGAATACCCAATTTTAACATAGAGTTGCAATTGATTTGGTAAGTGTTCATTTGATGAATTCGTATTTTTATAATATGATTGTTTGATAATTTAATATTTTCTCAATTCAATTTAGTTTTTAAGTCTTATGCTCTATATCTTTTCGCTTCATTGTCTGATGAGCGATGGGCTTACCCTTGCAGAAATTCCTAACCCCAGAAATTCAGAGAGACCAAGAGTACCAGCTCTCGTCGAAATTGCAAAATATGGAGTTTTTTTTTTTTTTTTTTTTTTTTTTTTTTTTTTTTTTTTTTTTTTGAAACAGCAAAATATGGAGTAATCAAGCCTTATTGATGTAATTATAGTTGTAAATTTTAGTGTTAACTTTGCTTAAATTTTATGTTGGTTGATTTTTTTTTTTGTTTCATATCAATTTTTTTTTTAGCCCATGCCATTTCATATGGTCTTAAAGTATTGTAACTTACAATTTATTAATTTTCCGCCAATTTGTATACAGCATAAAAATGAAATATTCAAAATTCAAATGCAAACCACATCAAAAGCAAAAGCAACGTTTGTTTTTTTTAACAATAATAAAGAACCAATAGACCCGTTAATTAACATGATAGGTCTATTTGATACCACCAAATAGATCCCTTATCTCAAATAACTGGTCCTTTTTCCTTCTAAATTATCAATTTCCTAACTTATGTAACAGACCCGCTATCACTAACGACGGGTCTCCTTGTCCTCATAAACAAAAGAGACCTTGGGATAGAGACTCGTCCTGAGGCGGTCTCTCAGGTATATTTCAACGGTTCTCTTTCCATTTTTTGTAGTAGTACCCCCTTGTTTCTTAACGTTCACTTTAAAAATGCCGGGTAAGAATTTGGTCCTAGCCCTTATCAGGGATAGGCGGCAGAGGTGCCTTCACCCCCAGAAGATTAAGGTCCTTGTTCCAAGAGTTAAACTTCCGGTTCCGCTTTTCATCCAGTGAAGATATGGTGAGATTTTTTTTTTCGCTAGTCCTTCCACTTAGACTCCTTGCAAACGGTCATCATGTACCCCTTTTGAGTTGTCAAGGTGTACTAGCCGCCTGCCTTTAGATCCTTGCTGAGGTAGTGCATCGAGGCAAAAGCCTCAAAGCCTGGCTTCACCTTCAGCATTTTACATGCAGTAACGTACCCCAGAATATTTAACCAAGCATTGGGGGTAAGTTGCCAGTTACCCAAACGGTATCCATCTAATATCTTCTCCACAGTCGGTTAAAGAGGGAATCTGAGGCCCGCTTGAATGGCCGCTTCGTAACAACCGAAGCATTTATCCTCGTAGCTAAACCCATGCGGCCAAACAACGGTGTCCTCTAGATCAGGCACGTGCATCTCGTAGCCGCCTCCCATTACATGGGTGTCCTTGAATTCGTCTATCTTCTTGAGCATAGACATCTGTGTATGCGAGGAGATGCGATGGTAATAGACAGCAAATTGCTCCCTATATGAGGTTGAGGTCCCTTCTTCTCCTCTCTCTTCAAAATCGGTCTCTTCATCCGACACAGACGGTCTGTCAGAACCATCTGGTTCCCCATTCGACACAAACGGCTTTGATCTAGCCTCAGAACCTTCTGACCAAGCATCTGACTTGGTTGACCCCTGTACAGAGCCGGATGTGTCACCACCATCGGAGTCATCACTTGACCCCTTTCTTTACTCATTTAAAATTGGGTCACCCGGCGTACTTGGCGGGCTGGGCGAATGGTCGAAAACTTTATCAGCTGGCACCCTAAGGGTGTCGTTTTCTCTAGTCTCTCAACCTGTCCTCTTCGTTGTAGTCATAGTGTCCAGCACAGACATAGAAACGGCCGGATTCGGGGATGTTCGTAAGGAAGAGTCCAAGTAGGGGCAGGCGACACTCCTAGTCCTAGATTTAGCGGTACCAGGTGATTGGCTGACAACTGTCCTAGGCTGTGCCGTGTGTGTTTGTGAAATAATTTTTGAATAGGAAAACAAAAAAAGCAAGCACATGCGATAAATAAACCAGAAGAAGAGTAGAGACACGCGGTTACCATAGAAAAGAAAAAGAACTGTTGAAAATTCCTGAAGCTTGTGAGACAGTTGTAATACAGGCGGACAAAACACATGCAGCAGCATAACTTTCTCTCTCTAAATACTCACAGATTAAAATATCTCTTTAAGATTTTTCGTAAAAGTGCGAAAATGAGGGGGGGTAAATGATGAGTGCCATTTATGGCACTCAAATGGCATTATTTTGAGATGATTTTATTTGCTTTAATAGTTTTCCTTATGCTTTTTCGCTTAGTTTTAGTCTTTTATTCTCTAGTTGGTCTCATTCTAGTCTTTTCTACCTTTTTCTTGTATTTTCGTGGATTTTATCATTTTTTCCCTTTTACTTGTTTTCCTTTCTTCATTTTCAGGTCTAAGGTAAAGTCCAAGGCCCTTCATGGTGATTCCTCGGGTTAGAAGGTGCTCATAGTGCATGGTGGAAGCTCTCATATAGCTCATAAAACAAGGGATGGCTTGCTCCAAGACTTGATGCTTGCGCCCTCATGTTGCGCTCACTTGAAGTATGGTGTTGAACCCACCGTAAACTCATTTTGGGACTGCCATCCTCAATGAAGATCAAGAGGAGCGCACCTCTTGCATTGAAGAACGCAAGAAGGAAGTCCCCTGTTCTAGTGGCACGGGCGCGGGCGTGCAATCATCAGGCGCCCGCGCACCACCTGAGCTCCATGTTCTAGTTTTAAGGAGTTCTTAGATTTTAGAGAGAGAAACTCTTGGATTTTGATTTATACTTCAACAGTTGCTTCAATCAAGTTTCGATTTCCTTCAATCAATGATAATTAGTGGTATTTTTTTCCTTTATTTCTTTCCATTGCTTGTTTTTGCTTTGATTCATGAATGATTGTTTGATTTGTTGATCTTTTGGTTAATAGTTTAATTGATTTGAATTTCTACTTGATTTAGCTTAAGATGATGATGTTTGTGATTTACTTAGTTTTGTTCTTAATTTCAATATGCTTAGTGAGTAGACTCCTTGCTAGGGAGATGGTGAAGCATGCATGAATGATGGATTATTGCTAATTGATAGATTTTGATTGATTGAATTTTGTGATTAAATTGGTTGATAGAATTGTGTATGTGGTTGAATTGTTAAGGAGTGATCAACCTTGATTTTCAAGCTAGATTGCATTGTGATTTCTAATGATAGGAACCATTGATTTAGGGATTGCAACTATTGATTGAATTTGATTTGTGGTTCTTCTTCCTAGTCATTCATAGTGGAAACCTAGTTTGAGTTCTAGGAGATAACCCTTTGAGTTCTTTTGATTGCAATTATTATCCTCCTTTACAACATTTGGTTGATTGATTTCCCCTCAATTGGCATACCCATCATGATTATATGTGGATCCTAATCCCTAGTGCTTTTAATATTGAATTCCCTCTTTAGGCTAGTTTTTTGAGACCATAGTTAGTCATATTCAACATCCTTCTTAATCTTCGAAATTAAATAGCTTCACCTTAGGCTATAGTAACCTTTCTCCCATTCCTCGTGGTTCGACCCTTGACTTACCCTATACTTGGTTTAGGATTGGTCGAGTGTTTATAAATTTGTTGATAAGGTTTTAAGCATTTAACGACGTGTTTAGACCTTCTATCAGTAAAAAACTATTATAGAGGGGTAAAATCAGAGTCATCCCTGTAATTTTCCGCGGAAGGTGAAACGATTAAATTAACTGCCACCTATACATGCCTGCAAGTGTCACAGGCGCCACGTAACCTACCACGTCACCCCTGTGAGGGGAAAATGTTTAGGGTAAAAATGCCCTAGACACGTGGACCAATCAGGTCGTGACACTTGTCACCTTAGAAGGCGCCTAGAATGGGCCAACCAAGATAAGACACGTGTCACATCCATTATTAGGGAAATGGTGGCCTTTATGTGCTCAAATCCCGAGGTGCCGTAAAAACGGCGCAGCCCAAATACTTAGGTTAAAGAACCTAAGGTAAGGTCATGCACTCCCATACTCTATAAATATTACCTTGCGAGAACAACTTTACGTCTTACAATTATTACATTATTCTGTTACAACAAAGAAATCACCTAATCTCGAGATCCAAGAAAATCTACTTTACTTTCCGCATTTTACTCAACTTCGACATTTACTAACTTTATCGTCGGAGGCGGAACTTCGAACACCCAGAGCTTCCGTTTGTTGCGAGTACGGGCTTCCAAGGATCCAGGCTTAGAGTTGTAATTCTCCTGCAAGACACATCAGAAGACCCCAAAACATCTTACAACATTTTGCCTTTTAATTATTAGGTAGCACTATAAGAAAGCAGCTGGAAACATCGAAAAATCCGTCAGAAAAGGGCCTTCCGTCGGAACAGGTCTGTCGCAAAACCCTTCGTAGGAAATTGGACGTTTTTCTGAAAGAAATTCCGTTGGAAGCCACTTTTCCGACGGAAATTCCGACGGAATCCATTCTGACGGAGTTGGATTTGACTTTAAACGGAAGTCTGTCGTAATTTTCCGACGGAAGAGATTCCGTCGGAATATACCACTTCCGACGGAAAATTCCGTTGGAATGTACCTTTTCCGATGGAATATTCCGTTAGAATCTATTCTTTCTGACGGAAATTTCCGTCAGAAACAACAATAAAAAAAATAAAAAAATCCCCCACCACCAGCCCCCATAAACTGAACCCACGTACTTGACCCACCACCCAAAATCACCATAAAAAAACCCACGTACTTGACCCACCACCAGCCCCCCTAAACTAAACCCACGTACTTGACCCACTAACCAAACCCAGCAGCACACCCACCCAGACCACCCCCACCCACCACCACACCCACGTGCTTCACCGAAACCACCCAATACCACCACCAAAAAACCCACCCACCCACTCTACCACCACGACACCACAACTCAAAAAAATATCAAAAGATCCGACCATAACCACCACAATCTGAATTCCAACATCCACCACCACCACCATAAATTGAACACAAATTTAATTAATATAAAAAAAACCGAAAAAACATACCTTGATTCCACCGCACTAAACCTCGAAATTGGGTTTACGAGGCCAAATTCGACCATGAAAGCCCTAGATCTAGGGTTTTCATGGTCGAATTTGATTTGAAAACCTTGTGTTGTTGATGTTGATGGCGAAAATGGTGGTGTTTGTTGTTGGTGATGGCAAAAATGACCGTGAAAACGGTGGTGTTTGTTGTTGTTGAGGTCGGCGTTGGTGGTGTCGGCGAAAATGTCCGAAAGAAAAGAACAACGAGAGAGGAGGAGGGGCGTAGAGGAAGAGAAGGAGAAGGAGAGAAAAAGAAGAGAAGGGGCGTAGAGGAAGAGAAGGAGAGGAGAGAGGAAGAGAAGGAGGAGGAGAGAGAAAAGATGGAAGGAGAAAGGAGGAGGAGGAGGAGAGAGATACAGTAGAAGGAGAGAGGAAGAGAAGGAGGAGGAGAGAGAAATTGAAGGGGCGTATATAGGAAGATTCCGGAGATATAAGGGTTTGTTTTTTTTATTATTTAATTATATTCCGACGGAATATTCCGTCAGAAACTTAATTTTCCGACGGATTTTAATTCTGTCGGAAATTTAATGTTTCGATGGAATATTCCGTCGGAAATTTCCGACGGATTTTATTTCCGTCGGAATATTAATTTTTCAACGGAATATTCCGTCGGAAAGCCCATAAATTCCGACGGATTTTTATTCCGTAGGAAATTTCCGACGGAATATAAATCCGCCGGAATATATAGGATTTCTGACGGGATTTTGTGTCCGTCGGAAGATGTCCGTCGGAATCCGTCCTTTTTCTTGTAGTGTAGTTTCTTACACCATTTTTTATAGTTGGTAGTATCTCAAAAAATTTAGATTTTATTAGATAGTTTCGTACAAAAAACCCATATTATTATATATCTAAAAGTGGAATTCATAAGAATCATTTAAACCCTCAACTCTAAGATATGTATGCTACATCATTACCCTTAATGCCCAATCACCATCAACCAATTGTGAATTGAAATTAAGTTAAACATTTTAATTAACTTAAGTAAAGAGAAAAACTAAATAAAGTAAATTCAACTTTAACATCAAATTGAAAATATTATTTTAAAAACTTAGAAAATACAATCACACATACCCACACCAGAAAGTGATGCAAGTTATTTTGTGTCAAAATTTTCTAACCAAAAAAAATAGTGAAATTAAACAATAATCAACCAATTTCAATGTGAATTTCAAATTGATATCAGTAAAGAAAAAAAATTAGGAAATACAATATAATTTGATATTTGAATTAATAATATGAATAATATTTGGAGAAATTTATTATTGCAGATATGTTAGATGAATAAAAAGTCTTGAATAATCCCACAATTCCCACTTCTCGTTTATTTATTTATTTTTTTGGTATTCCACCAGTCACTCTTTGGGCTAATCCGAATTCGATGATTAGTTTTGGGTGGTTAGGTTTCAATCCCTTCCCAATTGTTGTTGCGGGGGATACCCACTTCTCATTTATAATACATTATACATCCTTCAAGACTACATGATCTCCTTTTATATATATATATTAAATGAAAATATCGAATGATTATAACCCATGAATCACATAAACGTTATAAAAAATGAATAATTATTAGGAAAAATTGATTCTAATAATCCCACCTTTGGATTATTATTTAATATAATCCCATCTTTATAAGGGATCTTATTCTATTGGTACCTAATTTGTTGGTAACCGATTTTGATAGGTTAAAATGCCTCATGTCGTTTTGTAATTGGTTGAAAAATAAAAAAAGTTTAAAAATTAAAAACTAAAAAAAAAAACCCAACAAAACCCCATCAGCCACCCCTCCACCCACCATGAAACCCTAACCCTTACCCTAGTCCCATCGAAAATCGGTCGGCCTCCACCATAAACCCCCGAAAACGGCCGGCCGGAATAAAAAACCACCCCACTGATCAAATCCACCACCGAAATCAACCCCTGACCCAAACCCACACTCGAAACCACCACAACCACCACATCTAAATATCCCCAAAACTCCGCCAAAAACAACCATAAACCCCCAATACTCCAATGAAAACCGTCATAAACCCCCGAAACTCCACCAAAAACCCCATACACCCCCCAAAACTCCACCGAAAACCCCCTCTAACCGCTCTTGAAGGTATTTTTTTTTTTTTTTACTTTTTTTTATTGAAAATCAGGGTGGTTTTCGGGGGAGCTGGGTCGGTTGCTGCTGGGAGGGGGTGGAAATGGGTGTTCCAGCGGTAGAAATGAGAGTTCCAGCGGTGGGGATGGGGGTTCCAGCGGTGGGGATAGGGAGGAGCCGATGCGGGGCTGCCGGAGGTTGGGGGTTCAGGCGGTCGTTGGGAATAAAAAAAAAATTAGGTGTTTTTTTTTTAGTAGTTTTTATTTTTAATTTTTTGACCAGTTATCTAGTGCCACGTGTCACTTAAATCAAATAAAAAAAGTTTACCCAATGTACAAGTTATCGGTCATAGGGGACCAATAGATGAAAATCCCCTTTTAAAGGTGGGATTATTAACAGCGAACTGACTAAAGGTGAGATTATTAGAATCAATTTTTTCAAATTATTAAAGAGGACAAGATTGCAATCTGAATGTAAAAAAATGAAAAAAAAAATAATAATAATGAAAACGCAGGGAAAAAAAAAATTAAATACATCATAAATATATATATTTTTAACAAATAATTCACAAATTAATAATGAAAATATGAAACAATAATAAAAGTTGTAATGAAATCTCTCTCTCTCTCTCTCTCTCTCTCTCTCTCTCTCTCTCTCTCTCTCTCTCTCTCTCTCTCTCTCTCTCTCTCTCTCTCTCTCTCTCTCTCTCTCTCTCTCTCTCTCTCTCTCTCTCTCTCTCTCTCTCTCTCTCTCTCTCTCTCTCTCTCTCTCTCTCTCTCTCTCAAATCCATAATATACCCTAAATAGAATAATGGAACCTAAATAGAAAAATGGAAGGCATACCCCAAAGGTTTAGTTTAATGACTATAATAATTCATACATTTCAACATAGCTTATTCAGTTCGCTATATGTGTTAATGATAAGGTTCTTAAAATGAGAAGGATGAATGTGCATATATTTTTTATTTTTTAAAAGAAAAACAATTTAATGTAAATTATGCTCAAAAAATATGCACAATGAAACTTTGTCAAATTCTTTTTGCACATTTAGTTTACAAAATAAGCAAATTCAGTACAAGATATATGTATAGAAAATAATAAACATAATAATATATGTAGTGTAACAATATCATAATTTTTATTGATGTTTGAATTCTAATAGATATAGTGCTTATTTGATATCCCCCTAAGGGTTGTTAATAATGAAATGCTTTAAAATAATGTCAAATGTCCACATTATCTAGTGTGAATGAAGATTGCAGCTTGGATGACTTGTTATTGTACTATTGTTGATCCTACTACTACGTAATAATCTAGGTGTCGTAATGGCTTATTTTAGTAGTAGTAGTAATGGGAATATAATGTGATCAATGGGTAACATAGCCAATAAAGAATTATGAGTGAATTACATATAAAAATGTGGGGGGGGGGGGGGGGGATGAACTCACAAAACTTCAATCACAAGTTGAAGAAACAAAGCCTATAGTATGTTGGTGAAGATCGAACTCCCACAAATAATTTTGTTGCATGATATTACCAATAACGTTTAAACCTGTAGGTGCCTCAAGAAATCCTATACAACTAATATCTGGGCCGTCATCCACAATATAACTCTTTACAAGTGGTTTGAACCTTGCCCCATCCATAAAATGGATCTCCAACCTTGGTACTTGTTTTGGATTAAATGGTGTAGCAGTGGAGTTAAAGCAATACTCGAAGTCTAGCTTCCCATCTCCTCGATATTGTTCAATCTTTGGGTGATCCTTTTCAAGAGCTGGGACTAACACATCCATGATGGCTCGATAGGTAGGTTCAGCCCAGTATGTGGCAGCAGTACCTGAGTCAAGGATGGTACCACCATCTGCATCACGATCCCACACAATAGGATCTATATTAAGCATTCGATGGTTTAAGCTGATTCCCTTCACATTGAGCCAATAGTAAGGAGCTGAGTCGCTAACAAGTAGGGCAGTATACCGCATGAACTCTTGTGTTGGTGCTTTTTCTTTATAATCTCCAAAGATAAGATAATTAGTGACATTTGTGGGGCTAAGGTGGTCAACGAGGCAATATGAGAAAGATCCTCCAAACTGGACCACTGCGTGGAGTGAAAAGGCATAGGGGTTGATTCCTAATCCAAGTACACCATCTGCATGCTTCATTGTGTCCTTGTCTGTAAATGATTCAGAGCATCCAATCAACAACTTCGGTAGCTTTACAGGTTTACCAGTGGTGGTGGGAAGGGTTGTTATGTCCTTCCCGAACATGCCATATGTCCATAAACCATTATCGCCGTAACTATATAACATTAAAACACTAGAGCTAGTAAGTTGATTCATTATAATATAACTGTTGTATTAAGAAAACTAAATTCATTTAAATAAAACTCAGATATAAAAGATATATACATGCATTTATCCATTTTTATTATATGCTTTTAATCGAACTCAAAAGTCCATGATCTTACCAAACAATACGACTTTTATGCTAAGATGGAATATTAAATTAGAGATGGGAAGCAATTTGATAATGGAGGAAGGTAGTAAGGTTCCGTGGTTTAGCGATAGAGGAGTTGGAGCAGGATACTGGCTAGGAAAATACATGGCTTGTTCCTTTGAGATGGTTTAGAATGACCAAAACTTAGGTGTATGTCAATATGTGCAAGTAAGAAAAATAAAATTAAATCAAAATTTTTAACATTAAAAGTGATGAAAAATACTCCCTCCGTTTTTAAATACTGGCTCTATTTCTCAATGCGTAGTGTTTTATGAGAAATTGGAGAAAGTAATAAAATATGAAGGTAGTGAGGTAGGTGGAAAAATAAAAAATTATAAAAAGCAAAAAAGTACTTGAGAGAATTGACGAAGAGAGAATATGAAATTAATAAAATATGATTTATATTGGATCCACTAGGTGAGGAAAATGAATTAATTACTGTAAAAGCTTTTCAAATATGGAAATAAAACAAGTATTTAAAAATGGCCGAAAATAAAAAGTGGAGCAAGTCTTTAAAAACGGAGGGAGTAAAAATTTGGGTAGCTCAAAACCATTACTTATTTACTTGTCTTGAATATTTGTGATTTATTAGGAAAAGGATCGGAGTCTTAAGTACATGTCTTTGTCTAGAATATACCAGTCATATTATAAATTATTCTTAATTCATTTTCCTATTCTTTTGTAGTAAAGTTTTTTTTTTTTTTTTTTTTTTTCAAAATATTTACTACCTATGGGTCATGATAATCTAAACATTTGATATATTACTCTGCTTTAATATATTCTTAATAGGTACTTCCTCTATATCTAAAATATTATTGTAGTTGATTTGGGAATTAGTTAGTTAAATATAAGGAAAAATTCATGGGAATAATCCCACCTTTGCATCGTTCATTTTTAATAATCCCACCTTTAAGTTATTTTTTAATAATCCGACCTTTACCTCCCCCCATTCTTTTTTATTGGTCCCATTTTACCTGAAACCGGTTAAGAAGGTAAATTATTATTTTTTTGATTAATTTACATGTGTCACAATTCGATTTGTCCAAAATTTAAAAAAAAAAGATAATAAAAAACAATTATTAATTTTAGAAACCACCCACCAGTCAAACCACCTCCCTTGCCACCGATCCCAGCGCGCCGACCTCCCCTGCCACCCTTCCCTTGAACCACCCTCGAATCCCCTTCCCCTGAACCACCCTCGAACCCCCTCTCCCTCACGAAACTAGAATCCCCTCCCCTTGAACCACCCTCGCCCCACCCATCCAAACGAACCCTAACCCGCGAAAACCGCAACCAACCTCCACCTTCGCCCAACCATTCCACCCCTTCCCGACCACCGCAGCCCGAAACCACCCCTTACCATGTTTTTCGGCCCCCATAAACCCTATTCCCCCACCCAACACCACCAAAAAATTGTTTTAACTCATAAAACCCGAAACCCGGAAAAGGGGGTGCAGTGGTGTCGATGAAGTGGCGGTGCATCGGTGGCTTTAATTGTTGCGAAGGAGGGATGGTGGGCGCGTCTGCCGGAGAGGGGCCGAATTCGGGGGGAAGGGGAAGTGGCCGGAAAAGGGACAGGGATAGGGGAGGGAGCCGGAAACGTGGTGAAGTTGGTTGTTCAAGGGGAGGGGGAAGGGAATTGGCTGGTGGGGTTTTTTTTTAATTAATTAAGTATAATTTTTACCTTTTTTATAATTTTTATTTTTGACCAATCACAGGTCGCCACGTGTCATGTAACCTGTTATAACAGGTTACATGACCGGTTGAGACCAATAAAAAAGAATGGGGGATAAAGGTCGGATTATTAAAAAATAACTCAAAGGTGGGATTATTAAAACCGAACGGTGCAAAGGTGGGATTATTCCCATGAATTTTTCCTAAACATAAAGAGGGGCGTGGGTAGATCGATATAAATTCAAATATGTGAATTACTTTGGATGTAATTGAGTAAAAGCAATTTCAAACTGATAAAGATATTTTTTTATCTTCCCTCAAAAATAATATAATAAAAAGTAATTTAGGTAGAATGTTAATGTGAAAATTTTCTCTATTTTATACAGATTAAAGTTCATTGTAATTAAAAATATATATATATATATATTTTTTTTTTATTATGCTACCTTAGCATCTTTATATATAATGTAAAAGACAAATCTCTAAAACTCTAAAATGTTCTATGTTTTCATGTAATAGAATTGTTAACAATTAAAAGTGCTAACATAATCCATTTACCCAACCTTTGATAAATAAATAAAAAAAAGGTAGTCACATATATGGAGATTACCTGTAATTATATAGGCATGGAGCGTTGACATTGGGACAAATGTCAAGAGACGAAAGAGAAGTAAATTCTTCTTTACACAAAGCAGACTCGCAAGAGATAGGTTTATAGGTTAAAGACTTATCAACATTAAGAGCTTCGTTATCAGAAAAGTATCGACGATTGCCTTTCTTGCACTTAACCCATGTAAGGTCACTACCAGTATCAACGACTAAGCGCAATTTTGTTGGAGGGTTTCCGACGTCGATATCCACCACATATTCACCCATTTCATAGTCTGCTGCCGCATACATTGGTAATTTAACCGAACCTTGTATGGTGCTCTTCAATGGCGCTTCTCGTTCTTCTATAGGAATATCTTCTTCATAGGTCAACTTCCTTGAATGGACTGTTGACAACCTTAACTTGGCCTTGTGGGATATCCCTTTATACCGGATAATATCGTGCTTTATTACATTCTGAAGTCGCCTTGGCCTTCCTTGAATAATTGATGAATCTGCTAGTATTGTGGAAAATGTGGTAGAAAACACGATTATTACAACAAAAAGTAGGACATGAAATTTACGAATTGTTTTAAGAAACATATTGAATAAAGTTTTTTTAATATATTTTTTTTAATTTTAATAAATAATTTTTTTTGGTTTTGTCCCCCTATTTGAATCGAAATAAAGATTTTCTAATCAATCATTCTTAGTTGTGTAAGAGGTAATGCATAGAAGAATCGAAAAAAGGCTGTCGTATTAAAAATGAGGTTTTTTTAAGGGGGACAAAAGAAAAAATTGATTCAAAAAAACAAAGATGAAATTATAACAATTTCTTGCTGTCTTTGGAAGGCCATTGTGGCCTAAGTGTTCTTCTCATTATTCTCTCTCCTCTATTGAAGGTTACCTCATCATGGATTAAAGTTTTCGCACAAAATAAGGCGGATTTTGAGTAAATGAGTTAGCTTTTATCTAATTGGAGAACCTATAATTTAGTTTTAGAAAGAAAAATTGTTTTTGGTCATAAAAAAAAGGATCATGTTGTCCTTAGTTGTCCTTAACTGTTGCGTTCTATTTATAAATGATTCACTATTTTATAAAAAAAAATTATTTTAATCATAATTTATTTATATGGCCGTAATCTTCTCTATGTGGCCTATTATTTGTTATCAAAACTGAAATTATCTTTTTCAAGATGCAAATTAATAAAATTTTCATATACCATACTAAGACTTTCTCTATATACATTCAATGTGTCCATTGATTGTACAAAAAATTTAAAATAGTTTGAAAGTACTAAGCTAAGGTTGATTAACTAAAATACCAACTGGAGGAACCAGAATAACCTGAAGAATAAAAGTGTTGTAAGTTAATTAAGTTTAGTCTTCTTAGGGTGGGGAGCTAGATTAAATAATGAAATAATTAGATTGTAAGAACTGAAAAATGTATGATTTTGTTTATATCTTGATTAGACTAATAATCTACGTACTTTATTGTTATCAACTAGCAAATTACTTTTTTTTTTTGTTTTAAGAACTAGCAAATTACTTTGTTACAAATATGCAATCATTATTGTATAATTGTGCCTATTGTTGTTAGCTTGTTGTTTGGGAAAATGATCGGAAGATCTCTGTCTAGGTATACTAAACGCAGTTAGTTTTGCATGAATGGCTTATGAAAGGGTGTCATCAGTGTGTCTCACCCTACTTATTAAGGATGTATGCAACTTGAGTTGAATGCTAGCTCCCTGAAAGTGGGCTACCTCTGTAATATTTAGCCTAGTTTAAGCTTTCCAAGTTCTAATAGTTTGAGCAAAATTTAAATTTTGATAATACTATAAAAAAAATTAAAAAATAAAAAAAATAAAAAAATAAAAATATAATAGATGTCGTTATATTTGAAAGATTTTCAGCTTTTCATTATATTTGTATTCTTATTTGGGTTTCTTTGAGGCTGGCATTAGAACTTTTGCAAATGCAATAATTTGAGGACTATGACTAGGTACCCTTCGTGTTATATAATTACATCATTCCGCAAGGGTCCATCTATTAGTGTCTCTTAACTGATTAATACTACTATCAGTGTAGAAGGGCGCAGTGCAGGGAAGGGGGCAGTGCAGGGCTGGGGCATATATAGATAGGGGGTAGGTGTAGGGAAACGGAGGGGGTAGTGCAGGGAGAGGCATGTGCAGTGAGGGGGTAGTATATTAAAGAAATGGTGTCCTTCGAACAAGTATATTTTTCCGATAGAGGGTACGGAATTAATTAGAAAACTAATTATTCAGTGAGGTCAAGTGATCAGAATGCCTAGCTGGAGGCCGCTTCCGATTAGTAATATTAATGAATAATTAATATTACAACTTAATCTTGACTGAACCCTTCGGGTCACACTCAATCATGTAACCGAACCAAATCGACGAATTAATCCGAAGGATTAAATGAGTCAACAGAGTATTTACGAACAAAGACGTCCGATTACGAGCTTAGAGCGTCGAAACCGAGCGTCGTAAGTCGAGTCAAATTTAGTAAAGGACGAGACGGGAAAATCAGCCAAACGACAAGTCATAACATATAGCCCTTAGCCTCGGAATGGCCGAGCCAACCGCAGGCTAGAGCAATATGGCTAGCAAGGCTGCAGCATGCCGAGCTAGCTAGCATGCTAGCATCGCTAGCTAGCTGGCACAACAAGGCCAACATCGCTGGCGCGCATGCTAGCACTAGCCCCACACCATCGCAAGCAAGGCAAGCAGCAATTGCTAGCTGGGCCTTGCGCGAGGAAGCAGCACAACAACAGCTCGCAAGCTGTGCATGCGGTAGGTGTGCCCAGCACGCCCAGTAGCAGCCCGCATGCATGTGTGGCGTGCTTGCTAGGGTGCACGCACACACGACCAGCAAGCAGGCCCAGCCTAGTGGCCAAGCCGCCAGCGAGGCAGCCTTGGCGCCCAAGGCAGGCCATGCCAGCTGGCTTGTTGCGAATGGGCGTGTGTGTGGAGTGGTTTTGTGGGTTTGCTTGGGGAGCAAGGGGAAGGTGGTCCTCCCCTTGTGGTCCTCACGTAACCCCTTGCTCTCCACTTGCCACTTGTTTTTTTGTGATTCATTTGGCATTTAATTTGATTTTAGAATTAAATTAAATTGTGTTTTATCTTTTTACCAACTCTCCCACATTGATAGAAGATGGGATTTCAAGGGCTCTTTTGCCTATATATACCAATCATTTGGCATTGGGAAAGAACACTTGAGTTGGTGAATTTGAAGGGATCTCCAAAGAGAGAAGTTCTAATACGTACTCTAAGTGATTTTTGGTCTAGCCGCGACTAAGCTTCGGGGTAGGGGCCGGTTCGGTTCGGTAGCGAGGGTGTAAGCCGTTGGAGGCTCGCGTGTTTGCGGGACTCTACGCTTTCAAGTCCGAGATCTAAGTTAGAGCGAAGCATGCTACAAGGGTAATGATTTTTTCTCTCTCTTCTTGTTAATCATGTGATTAAGGTTTTAATACATGCTTAGTTACTTTAATTTGTGTGCGGATTTTGGGCAGGTTTCCTTCCGCGTGGTGTTGGACATCACGAAACCCAACAGCGGTATCGGAGTCGCGTGCATTTAATTATTGTAACTAATAATTAATTAAGGTGATTTAAATGGATTTAAATTTCTCGTTTTGCTTTCTAATTAGATTATTAGCTCGTTTTTAATTAGTTTAATCTCGTATTTATGCTAATTTTGGCTAAAGAACCCAGATTTTGACCCAAAACTAGTGAATTTTGGGTGGAATAGACGTTTTAAATCGTTTTTGACTCACTTTGTAGATGATCCAGAAGCCAAAATCCACCAAAAACATGTTTTTCGAGGGGTTTTTCGTTGTTGACAAAAAATTTTAAATCTTTAAACCTTGATTAATCAAAGCATGTTAATGTTAGATTATGTGTATGGTTACACCATTAATCTACTGCAATAATAACCCTTACTAAGCATATTTATGAAGTCATATTTGGTGCTTAATTTGGTGAGCTTATTTTTCACATAAAATTGCAATTTCACATTTTTGCAAATTAATTGCTTGGATTGTGAATGTTTATGGTGAAAATGTATTTTTGAAGCCCCTAAAATGTTAAAGATCCAATCTTTAATTGTTTATTTGGTTGGAACTTAACTTTCTAAACTCCATGTTGAACTATTTTAATCATTTTTGAGTTGATTAAAGTCTTAAAAGTTCAAACTTTTGAATGAAATTTGATTACTCTTCATATTAGAAGGATGTAATTTTTCAAGTATACACAAGTTAGTGTTGGAAAATTTTTCATTGGATGATTCTGTTTATTTTTCCATCTCCTTTTATTTTGTCAAATCTCATTATTAATTTATGTATTGTTAAATTAATTGTGAGAATAGCCCTCAATTTTTGTAGAATCAAGTTGAGCCAAAAATAATTTAAACAATGGTTCTTGAATTAATTTTTGTTTCTGCACTAAAAAATTGGATTTATTTAAGTTGGACTTATTTTATTTTCATTTTTGCTCAATATTGGTTCTAAAAATAATTTATAATTAATTTCATGTCACACAAAAAAAATCGGGATAAAATCCCGAGGCACAAGCATGCAAATCGAGGCACAAAGCCACGAGCACTACCCTCGGCCAGATGGGCTGCTTGCGGAGCCTGCATGTGGTTGCCGAGGAGTGCGGGTTGCTTGTGCGTGTGGTGTGTACGAGCAGCACCTGCGATGGTGCGGTGATAGTGCGCTTGGTGCGGGAGGCTTGTGTGGGCTGCAATGTGCGGCTGCGGCCAGCACGAGCTCGTACAGCAGCAGGCCTTTAAGGCCCTCACTTGCGTGCGCACAAGCATGCTGGTGTGGCCAGCATAACACACTTGGTGCGATGCTGTCAACCACATGCAGGTGCTTGGCACAGCAGGTGGCTGTGTTGGGGCAGCAGCCACGCAAGGCATTCGTGGCTCGATGCCTTGCAAACCAAGCCTCGTTGCTTGGTGCTAGGAACTCGAGCATCGTAGGGCTATGTGTTTTGCGATTTTTGTCGGTTTTAATTATTTTATTTAATTATTAAAACGAGGCTAAGCTAGACCTCAGTTTTTCCTGGCACTTGCAAAACAATTTTGGCAAAATTCTGGTAAACCGACTTAATTAAAATAATTGGATTAATTTTACTTAAGTTGGATGCGAAAATTAGTGGGAGCGTCATTAATTTTTGAGCTAATTTTGTTGCGTTTAATCACATAATCGGTGAACAACTTTGACTTGTTTTAATTAGGCGTGTTAATTGGATTAACAACCTAAGTTAGTTAATAGTTTACGCTTGTTTTGCTTTATTGGTTGTTTTACTTTGTAAAATTCATGGGCCATTCACATTAGTGAATGGATGAATGGAATGAATGCTCTATCACATGTTTTTATAAAATGGAAACTAGTGGGGCCCGATTAGGATAATAAATACAGACTGATCCGTTATGTATTTTTGTAAATCTAAATACGGTCTACGTGCCGTTGCGTATTTTTGTACCTTAATATTTAGATTAGTTCTAATCTTAATTACTAGTTAGTTGCATTATTAATGGAAATGTCTTGAAGAAGGCGATTCTTAGAAGACGAGGCCAAGATGATGCGATAAAGACCCTTGAAGACTTGAAGACTCAAGGGGTCATGCTAGTTGCCAAATGCATCTTTAATCATGCTTTGTATATTTTGCTTATATATAATTGAGATGTTAGATGCATGTTTAGGATTTCGAATGTTGAATGATTAGTTTATTTCACTTAAATCAACCAACATAGAAACTCTAAGTCCCAAGAACATTGAGTAAAATCTGCCATTCCAAAATAACACTTATGGAACTAATGAGAATAGTAATGGGCTATGCCAAAGCAAG